GCCCTTTTCTGGGCTAACCTGAGGGCAGCTATTAACATTAACCTGCCCACAGCCATTGAAGCAAATGAGAAGCACAGTGATGTTGCATATACTGAGTAGTATAAGTATGTGAATAACTGATCTGACTGTTTTGCATTAAATTCTGTTAATAAATTTTTCTATTTTTTTACATCATTGCTAGTTTGTTGCAAAATGTATTTGTGATACATATAGAGATTGCTATTGCTTACTCTAGTCGTCAAAAGTAGTCAAAGGTCATCTGTAGTTGCCCATCATCAACAAAGAGAGGGAGGGAGAAATTTTCAGTGATTGACCTTATTTTTGGGTTGCATAAATTTCGTACTTTTTGCATTGAAAGCCATATTTGAAAGTAATGATGATAGTGATTGGTTCAGTGTCATCAGGACTGCTAAGGAATGCGTTTAATCTTTGTTCTGACATGAATGTTGTGGGGTTAAGATTGTAAGCATCTGCTTCCTTGGATTTAATTAGATAACACAAAGAAGAAGAAAATTCTTGTTTAAAACCCTTCCTCCACATGGGTATAGTAGATGTCATGAGTACAATATCCCTATACCTTTAGCCTGTTTTCCTTCCTGGAAGTCTTTCCCTCCATCACAGAGAGAGTTTCCTAGGTAGGTGCTGAAAATTTGGGCCCATTAATCCTTGTTTAATATTCTTCTTCCTTTGCTGTACTAAAAATTCCCACTTGCCCGAAGATAACTACCAAGTCAATGATTTCATAGAATTCAATATTCATTGTCTTCAAAATCATAGTAAATATCTGAACTTATGAATTTTTTATAATATTGTAATATTACTGCTTTCTGCTATGATCATATCAGGTTGTACCGGGTTATGTATTTTTCCTGTTTTCTAAAACTTAGAAGCTTGATGTTTGAAGGTGAGCCCCCTTTTATCTCCAGACTTTCACTGAACTCTATTACCTTGCTCTTTTAAACAGCAGGTGCTGAGGGTCATCATACAGATGAAAAAGGAATATGTTTCCTTGGAAAATAACTTCTCTGATGAAATCTAATGGTGGTTTTTTTGATAGGAGACATCTAGTAGTTTGCTGTGCTTATTTGACAGTCCAATAAACCTCTCATTCTTTATCTGTTAATAAACTTCATGTGTCATTTAACTGGTGATGTGGGGGTTTGTAATTATGCTTATGGCTTAATGGAAGTGCAAAGCCCAGTGATCACAACTGTGAGCAGCACGTGTGGTGAGCAAACCAGTAAGAGGATGTGATCCTTAACACTCACTGAGGTGGTTCACCAAGCACCCACCATGCATGGTAGCTGGGTGAAACAGTGAATCTGAAGTTGTGGGAGAACTTCCTGGTGTCCAGTGATGCTGAAACACTGCTGGCACCCACCTACCAGTTCAGGTTAAATGCGTAGGATCACAATAGAATGCAAGGTGCCTGGCTCCCAGTGTAGAGCTTTGGAAAAAAGAGCTAGAAATCCCTACAAAATCTAATTTCACGTAAAAGGAATTTGGCTACTGACTTCTGTAACAACAAATCTGAGATCTCCCCCTTTCCAAAGTCAGGATGTGTGCCTTAAGAAGGGGTGCTAAATCCTCAGTATTTCAGTGGGAGCTGGTGGATGCACCATAATTTAAAAGCATGTTATTTATAATGAGGAAAGGTGTGCAAAGACAGAGAGGAGCTTAGTGCTCTGTAGAAGTCCAAGTCAGGAAGGCTTTACCCTATACTGAATGTCACTTGTGCTTCATGGCAACCGAACATGGTAGACAGAGGCGTTGGGCACCATGGAGTGCTGCTGAAAGTGCATCACAAACCTTGTGGGCCAGCCAGCCACTTACAGCAAGCTGTGTGGAGTGTTCCACGGAAATACAGGTGTTAAACCTGGGGATGTGGCCTCAGTGGACCACTAGAGCTCTGCTGCAGGGGGAATGGGAGCTTCAGACAAAGTCTGAAGACTTAGTCAATGGTTTATATAGGTGTAATTCAGCCTATATACAACTTTGTCCTGCAGGATTAAGAATGGCAAGCCAAATATATTTACATTTAAAAAATTTATTTAAATTGATTTTGATAATGATAGTGATTAGACTAAAAAGACTTTAATCAGAATTTTTTACTACACAGTATAGGTAGCTATAACTACTAGTATAGTGCACTATTTTTGAAGTAATATTGAAGCAACTATATAAAAGCTAGCAAAACCAATTAGTACGTGGAGATTGATGTTAGTCACCCATATCAACGACTGTGGGCAAATCTGGTTCTCTCAGCCTGGAGGAGTAACCTTGTGGGGTGTCCCCACTCAAGGGGGGAAACTGCACACACACTCCAAGAAGGTATGTTAAAGATACTACCACTCAAAAGTGAGACTGGGCTTTTATATTTTATATATGATTGACTGTCAGCCAGATGTCTCCAGGCCAGCTGTGTTAGCTCAGCATCTTTAGCTAAGCATCACTTATCAGTTATCACTTATCAGTTGCATCACTTGTTGGTTCCTTTTATCAGGCACTTGATCTTCCACATCTTCAGGGGTGCCACTTTCTATGAGGAAGCATTGTTCTTCCTCAGGATGATTGGGATTGATGAGTCAGGCTGGTTTCAGCGTTCTTCAGCACCAAAAGCAGCATGACACCGCCTTCTCCGTTCTCCACCAATAGCTTTGCAAACAGGATATTGTTGGAGCTGTTTTATCCCCACTCTGCAGAGCATCCTGCTACAAGTTACAAGCTGTTTCCTTCTTAACAGGTCCTTCACAACAGGATTTTTCTTTACTTCTCCATCACACCACATCACATCACAATTTGCCCTTAGGCAGTCACCTGGCCAAGTGTTAGTGGCTTTTTTATTTCAGCTACAACCAGAGTTACATCCGTCTATAATTTAAGAGTTGTGTGCTATACAGCTTACAGCTACCTAAGGAGCTGTTCAGTCACAGAAGCCAGTCCACATTAAGTGGGATGGGAGTTTTGTAGCCTTTTTCTGACTTTATCTTTGTCTGACCAACCCAGTGGCCTTCTACAATGTACTGACTACAACAGTGGACAAGGGAAGAGTTATGGATGTCATTTATCTGGACTTTTGTTAGGCCTTTGACATGGTCCCCCACAACATCTTTCTTTCTACATTGGAGAGAGATGTATTTAATAAGTGTGGAAAAATACTGAAAAACAAAACTCAGCAAGAAGAAGTGCACGTGTTGGCAATAGTTCACCAGGAGCAAGCTGTCTGCACACCTTAGAAGCAGGAACACTGAGGGAGCTTGGTATACTGCCCTAAGGGAGACATGAAAAAAAGGACGGAGCAGCGTGGAGGTGTTGTGGTCATGCACTGTCAAAGTCAAAACAGCTAACAGGAACTAAACCAAAGGAATTACCCAAATGGTGACTGAAAGATGAACTTTGCTTCATTAACTCAAAAATGCATATTACTTTTCACGCCCCCCCATATGCTAATAAAGTAAAACCTGTAGGTGCTTCACATGTAAGACTAAAGTCACTCAAACTACACCTAGACATGAAATTACATCACCTGTAAATCTACCATTTCCCCTCCCTCAAAGAAAACAATATAAATATATCTTAAGTGGGGGAGGAGGTCAGAGGACATTCCACTCTTGTATCCTGGGACAGTCGATAGGCTGTCTCTCCTTCCCCATAGAAACATATATGGGGTGAGACTCGAACACTTGGCAATACCAGGTGCTCCCTTGGAAAATTCAGAAAGCTGTCTTGTGTTTGTGATCACATTTTAGCACTATAAAGTTATTTTGCAATTTAATATATTTGTTACTGGCTGTATTATTCATATTTTACATATTCATGTATGCTTCTGCAGACAGTGTGTTTATCACCAGCAATCCAATAAGAACCTGCATTTCTATAGCTCAATAAACTACACTAGTTTGCATCTGACAATGAGAATTATTGAACACAATCAGACTTTTAATCAGTCTGTGAGAACTCATTGAATACAAACAGACTTATATTGTATCGTACTGTTCGTGCATCCATAATTACGGTAGTTCTCAGTGGACGTGGCCAGACTTACAGTGCCCTGTTGGCTCTTCATTTCTCTGTTGCTTAGTGCCAAATGGGCTACTACTCAGAATTTAAGCCCAGCCTCCCTTAGCCTCTTTGATCTCTGAGGACTAGCTGGAAAGCCAGGGGGTTTATTTTCTGCCAAATCTCCTTCCTCTTAACACAACAGAAAAATTTGCCTTACTCATAACTCAACAATGAGTTGACTGTTTGATGAATGAGGAATTGGTTGGATGGTCGCATCTGGAGGGCAGTGGTCAATGACTCAGTGTCCAGATAGACACTGATGACAAGTGGTGTCCTCAGGGGTCTGTACTGAAACCAGTTCTGCTTAATGTCTTCATCAAGGACATAGACAAAGGGATTGAGTGCACCCTCAGCAAATTTGCAGATGACACAAAGCCAAGTGGTGTGGTTCACACATCTGAGGGATGGAAGGTCATCCAGAGGGACCTAGACAAGTTTGAGAAGAGGGCTTATGGGAATCTCATGGGGTTCAACAAGGCGAAGTGAAAGGTCCTGCAGTGGGTTGGGGCAACCCCCGGTTATCAATACAGGTTGGGGAATGAGCAGATCCAGAGCAGCCCTGCTGAGAAGGACTTTGGGTGCTGGTGGATGAGAGGCTGGACATGACCTGGCACTGTGCTTTTGCCAGCTGTGTTCTGGGCTGCATCAGAAGCATCATGGCCAGCAGGGCGATGGAGGTGATTCTGTCCCTGTACTCTGTTCTGGTGAGATCTCACCTGGAGTTCTGCATCCAGCTTTGGGGTCCCCAACCTAAGGACATGGACCTGTTGAGCAGGTACAGAGAAGGGCCACAAAGATGATCAGAGGGCTGAAGCACCTCTGCTATGAGAAAGGTTGAGAAAGCTGGGATTGTTCAGTCTGGAGAAGAGAAGGCTCCAGGGGACCTTTTGTGGCCTTTCAGTCCTAAAATAGGTTCTATAAGAAAG